ACACACACACACACACACACACACACACACACACACACACACACACACACACACACACACACACACACACACACACACACACACACACACACACTTCTATTTGGACATAATGTCAAATAATACCGTGTGTGTATGAAGATAAGTTTTTTGGTTTTTTATAACTTGTATTACTGTTCTCAGGGAGTCCTCTAGTGCCAGGCCACACAGTTTCCTTTTCTTCTTCTCCAGGAATGATATTTTCAGGAGATGACTTCTATGTTATTTCCTCAGGACTGGTGAGAATAAGTTTTTGTATTAAATCTGCTCACAACACTAAATTTGACTAACAAAATGGGAAGTGGTAACTTAAAGTAGTGTATTGTGAAATAATCCAAACCTTTCAACAAGATGAAGTTGGGGCTCGGGTTTCTCTGTAGTTTAGTGATGTACTTGTGAAAGTGTAGACTATAATTCTTGTCACTATTAGAAAAATATTTTAATGTAATATTTGAAAATGTATTTTAAGTTAAAGAATCGTTTGTAAAAATGCGACTAATAGAGTAGCACACTTAAACTGGTATTGTAGAAATTTGTTTTTAACGAGTTAACTTTGCAAGATAATGTTGCTCTGACTGAATTATTAACTGCTTCCTATACAAGATCTAAATTTAACTGCTTTTATTCTGTAATTTTCAGTAGTCCTATTATAAATACAACCAATTTTGTAGTGTGACTTAAGATTTTTAAACTGTTCTCTAACTCTTGCATTAGATAATTGAGTTGATTGAAATAATCTTGTGCATCTACAATAGTGTAGACTTTGTTTTATTGATTGTAGTGTTTTTAATTTGAGGGTAAAACTGTTTTAAGGATCTTTGTTTTGTAAATCAAAGCTATCAAGTGAGTTTTGTTAATTGTTATCTTCTGATGACAAAGCACATCTTTTGTAGCACATTTAACATTGTTTAATTTTAAACTTGTCAGCACTTGTGCTCCCCATTTATAGAATGCCTTGTATATTTGTAAATAACTATCGTTAGGTTACAATAGAAACTACCATAGGCAACGATAACTCTACTCTATGGAAGTACGTTCAACCCGAAGGTACAGTCTTGGAGTGGATTCGTAACTTGGTCGCTAACAGAATGTCAAAGACTGGAGCTGAATGGGTGAGCTGGTTTAAGAAGTTCAACAGTGGAACGTAAGTTTTCTTTTTTAAAGTGTTCAATTTCTCTGTCGTCTTATCTGCAACTTTGAAAAATGTCCCTGATCTTGCTCTTTTATCTAATGTGTAAGATGGTTAATATAAAAACTACAATTTGTAGGTTAGTTGCAAAAATAACTAAGTCTGGGTACATCTGTATACTTGCAGTACAACTCTGAAGATGTATAACTATGTACACAACAAGGTTTAGTATGAAGGTATCATGAAATACCTGTTTTTGTGTTATCCAGGCTACTCTTTAGTTTCTACAATAAAGCTTTCTCAAACAAAACTTGCTTAATTTAAAAGTTCGTCCATTTTAGACTTAAGCTTTCCTTTAAAGTCCTGTATGTTAAACTATAAAATTTTCATAGAATCTTTTCACAAGAATACCAACATGGAAATAATTGGAAGAAACGTTATTCTAAAGTATCTTTCAATACGAGTAATGGGATATTTAAATTTCTGACATTTGTCTAAATTTATTTTAGATTGAAAATTACTTCATTTCCTTGCAACAAATAAGAGATTAACATTTATGTTAATTACAACTAATGTAGAACTTAGAGCTTGTTATAACCTTTCCTACAAATATAAGTTCCTTTTATTGGAAGGAAAAATACATTTTTGTAAAATTATTTCTATTTAATATAACATATAAATGTTTAGTTTGTCTTTGTCATGATTTAAGTTTCTTTAAATTTACCTTTTACACTTTTCTCTGATTTTCTCGTTCTTTTTGTATATCAATGTTAAATTTAACTTTGAGGGTGATGTGATTATTATAAATGAATATTTTTATTTATTTATTACTATTAGTTTCCTTTTTAATATTGGATAACTCTTACACTTCCTGGATAATGACTCTTCCTAATGTTAGGTTTTATTTCTAACATTGTGTGTGTTATTGAACTTCCTGGCTAAAAACGATGGAAATTTCTTTGAATTAAATAAAGTTAAATATTTAATGTACGTATCTGTTTCAGTCTTGGTCTTTCTTTTTTCTAATTCGTATGTTAAAACAATCTAGAAATATTTTTTAATTTTACTTTAAATAATTCGTAACTACTTTCAAAATTATTTAATAAACTATTCAACATTTAGATTTCAAAATATCCCATCACTAAAGTGACATAAGCTGGAGCCACTTTTCTTACAGTTGTTCCAGAGACTTGTTTAATTTAATTATCACTCGTTTATTAAAACTTGGATGCAATAAGTCTAGGTATGTTTTTAAATGATATTCAATAACTCTTGTCCTTGAAGAGAAATATTCTAACTTTCTCTAGTAACTAATTAATAAAATCAATATAATCTTTTACATAACTTTGTACTTTAGATGTCAATGATTTTAAAATTTTCTCAATAATAGAGGTCGGTGGCTCAATCACCTTGTTTTATCCACCTACAAGTTGTCTTCCAGAAGATATTCTAAATTTCTTTTTTTATGAACTTTTGGCTGATTCATAATGTTACCAGTTTATAATCTCTTAAATTTTGTTTTTGTATATTCTTTAATTTTTGCTTGATTAACAAATTTTGGAATATTAAGCTTCTTTATCATTTGAGTATTCTAAATAATGGTAAATTTTTAAACCATAAATAATTTATCACTTGTTTTTGTTGCACTTTTCTCTCATTCAAATATAGTTTTTAAACAATTTTATTACACTTTCTATAGAACTACAAATTATAGATGTAATTATTTTTCTTTATTTTCTATATTTTGCTTGTTATTCATAAACTTCAGATTGTTTAAATGTCTTTTGTTTTGACTTTCGTATCTTCCAAAACTAATCTTTTATTTTTAATTTTCTTTTTCTCAAAATACCTTTAATCTTCCTTTATGTTTTGTGTCTTGCCTCTTGAACTTGATTTGTTTACAAAACCAAACTTGTTTGTTCTCCCAAATCTTTCCACTTTTTATTTTTAGCATTTTATTACATTCATATAGACAGTCATTGTTATTCAACATCTTAACTTCTGTCACAGAATCCAAGTTTGTATATTTAATCAACTGATTCTTTGCTCTTGTTGAGTTTCTACTCGTAGTCACTAATCAATATTCTGCTGATCCCTAGACAGTGAAAAGTTTGTCTAAACTTATTACGAGAGGTTGTTCTTCTTGGAGACTATCATAAGTCTGTTTAGTTGGCTTTCTCTAGTTCATTAGTTGTCTTTGTAAATTTTCCTGTAGGTATTTTCTAATTTTGTAAAAACACATGTTTGACAATTTTAAATAACATTTCTGTGATGTATATTCTTCTTTCTTCAGTTAGTATCTAAGGAATTAATTGATGTAAGAAACTAGTTATCAGTTCATTCAATCTCATTTAAATCTTCCATTTTTATCCATTTACTCATTATTATAAGTCCCTTTCCTAGTGGCAGGTGGTTATATTTTTTCTAAAGTTTTTTTAATTCACTCCCTTTGTATAAAATTATATACAAGGAAATATATTTAGTGTACAATTATAAAACGAAGAAAACAACATGTTAATATACTTAAGTTTACCTTTCAATTCTAACCTAATATTAGGTATAACAACCAGTGGATGATAGTGGACTACAAACGATTTAAACCAGGTAAAGAGATATCTCCTGGACTTCTTTGGGTACTGGAGCAACTGCCGTAAGTATTTCAGTCTTAAAAGTTGTACTCCATAATTTTCTTTAACAGTTTCTAAAATGTTGTGAATTTCATGAAAAGTTAAAGAAAATCACTCCAAAAGGGGGCTAAACCTACTACAGAAACATTAATATTCCTAATTGTTATTTAGGGGTCATGTGGTGAGTGGAGATGTCACAAAAGTGCTGCTGAAAAATGGTTACTGGGCCAGTTATAATACTGCGTAAGTAACGTTTTAGATGTTACTTTTCTTGATTTGCTTAAACAGTCTGTTTTAGGGATAAGAACTGACAACTAAATTTAGTTGTAGTGGTTATATAGTCAAAATAGAACAAATTTATGTAGATGCACATTTTTGTTTTTTGGTCTGTTTAATGGCTCATCTTTTAGATTTTCTTTTCTAGTATTTGTTTGTGACAATGTTAGATGGTGCTTTTTCTGATGAAGTGTAACAAACTATGTATAGCTAAAATATCAAACTATTGACAAAATTAGAATTTTACATAACTTAATGTATTGACATTTATTATTTGTAACAATTGATGTTTGTTTTTATATATGGGGTTTAACTTACAATCGTGTACTCTGTATTGACATTTATTACTTGTAACAATTGATGTTTGTTTTTATATATGGGGTTTAACTTGCAATCGTGTACTTTATATTGACAAACAGATATTTCCCGGATATCTTCAACATGAGTGGAAGTGCGGAGATGGTTAAAAAGTTTGGAGATTGGTTCAGCTACGATCGTACTCCTAGAGCTTTGATTTTTAAGCGCGATCAAGGGAACGTTCACGATATTGACAGCATGACTCGTCTAATGAGGTGAACGTGCAAGTACTTGGTATATATATGTTGTTACCCTACCATGACTGGTAAATGTAATTTAACAAAGATGATTAAAATTGCTATTACCAAAAGAGGTTGTCCAAAATTTGTTAAAGTTTGACTTTAGTTTTTTAGTTTTATACTGTTGTGTTCTATCTGATCCATTCTAAGTAATGATGGACTTTATTAAAATACTTTGTTACGAAGTTATATTTGAATGGAATGACAGGGGTTGTAGTACGTTAATTAGTAAATGTATCTAAGAGAGAGCATTAAATCTTCATCTTAAAGTTAATGGGAAGTGTATAGAGTTAGAGCTATTTAATAAAAAATAGGTGATGGGTATTGTTGTCTCTAACATGTATAGATTTAAACTTGACAACATTAATTTTAATCATTAAAGTACTGTTAATTTTTTTTGTATGCATGTGAATAACTGTCTGTTTTACTGAAATTTACTGTATTATGTCATTTACTGTTGGGTGGAATGTTGTGAAGTTTAAAGTCATATTTTTAAGTGTTAACTTTTGTTTTTGTTGTAAAACCAATATTTAAGTAATAGTTAAAATATTTTGGTGACTGTAAATTACTTGGTTTGTTTTATCGTGATCTTTATTACCCGTTCAGGTACAATAACTTCACCAAAGATCCACTGTCTCGATGTAACTGTACACCCCCATATAGTGCAGAAAATGCTATTGCAGCTCGTTGCGACTTGAACCCTAAGAATGGAAGCTATCCCTTTTCTGCATTAGGTCACAGGTCTCATGGAGCCACTGACATGAAGGTTAAGTTACTTTGTAAACCTTTGAGCTTAAAATGTTTAATTTTGGTTATTTCTAAGGATTGTGTATTGTTTCTTTTTTAACTTGTGGTTATGGTGTGTGAATTACTAGTTTCTGTTGTATTGTTAGTCGTGCATCCGGCATACACAAATTTATAATGTAAAATTCACTATTTTGTAATAAGTGTTAAATATCAGTTAGTATTATTTAGAACTTGTGTTGTGTTTCCTTTTTACAGTTAACCACATTTGGACTGTCCCAGAAATTTGAGTTTGTTGCAATTGGTGGACCAACTCATGATCCCTTACCACCTTTTCAGTGGAGCAAATCTGACTTTTCTAAAGACCTACCACATCATGGTCACCCCGATCTATGGGTCTTCAAACCTGTTACCCATCACTGGAAGTAGAAACCTTTTACATTGTTATCGATGGACATATTTGAGAGAAGTTGAAGCTACAAGAAGAGACTTGAAATATTTAAATTAATTGAATATATTAAATGTGTACTGGAATTAATCATTTTTGTATAAAAAGGGGGAATGAGATTTAATTTTGTTAAGAAATAAAAAGCTAAAACTGAATTATGCTTTGAAGTTTTAAATTAACCAACTACATTTCGTAGTGCTAGGGCAAAAATTAGATAAAACGATGTTATTTGTTTTATGTATGTACATAATAAAAAAAAAATTAGTAAAGTTAACAAGGTATTATTGAATTTTAAATTAATACGGTTTATACTATGACAGTTAATGATTATGTGAAAAAAAAAATTATATTTTTGTACATTTTTGAAATGTTAATAAAATCAGAGTTCAGAGTTCAGAGTTCAGAGTTCAGAGTTCAGAGTTCAGAGTTCAGAGTTCAGAGTTCAGAGTTCAGAGTTCAGAGTTCAGAGTTCACTCGTCTTAACATTAAATAAAACTACAATGTACGAGATTTCACTATCCTCTGGAAAGTGGTTTTGGGCTAACTGTTCTCATTATTATTTTTTTCTTTTAAATTCTTAAAACGTTAATTGCACGAAAAATACTAAAGGGGTCGCCACTGAGAAAATATGGCGCTCAGCTAGCGGAAGAATTGAATCAGATAGAAGTAAAGTACGAAGAATTACAGGTACTTAATAATTGTCTGTCCAAACGTCTTTTAGCCTTACCTTCTGTATAAGTTATCACTATACTTTTATAATACTGTTACCATCACCCAAAGCCACATTAATGTCATGAGGAAATATTACATTCAAATATATAAGACTTCAAAACGTAATTACAAAACATTTTCACTTCATTAAACTATATACGTACTTGGAAAGTTGAGTTGTCACAAGGTTCAGCCATCGTTTTATATTATTCTCTCAAATTCAAAATGACATCGTATGTTTGCTTTCCCCAAAACTACACGTAAATGCTATTTGGCAACCCTAGACAGACTCGTTAAACTACAAGCTAAATGTGCCAAACAAATTAACTATCAAATGGACCAGATTACAAGACACCTATAGCATATCCTTAATCATCTTATATTAAGGATTTATCTCAAAGGTCTATCATTATAAATGTTTATTATCAAACAATTTAGTCTTAACAATGATTGAATGACTATCAACATATCAAAAATGTCTTAAACCTAACATACCTGCTTTGTAATATCTGTCACTGCATTATAAAATGTATCAAAGATTTCTTGGTGAGGGGATTATATAATGGCCTATACCAATGATTTCATTATTCATCTACAGTTAATACCACAGAGTTCAATTTATACAATAAAGTCAAACATTATAATAAATCTGCAGGCACTTTACTATTTGTAATTAATACAGCTAAAGTAGTAACCATACAATGCACATATCAAAACGCTAAAATCCATGTTATAGATCTCGTCAATATAGTTTACAAGTGAATATAAATATCAAGAGAATGACGTAAAAGAATATGAATTAGGTCCTTTCTACTTTTATCCTGTTCAAACTACTAGTACAGAACAGTTGAATGCATTATATTATATTATATTCAAGACTTAAAAATATTGATACAAAAAATATCTTGGTAGTATCTATCAAAAGTTTAACATAAAGAGTTCATTAGTAGATATAATTATGTAACAATTAATAGAGAAAAAAGTTAAAACCCTGGATTACTACAATCTACTTAACCTATAATGAATTGATAGACTTTAACAAGTATAGAAATTATTTAAGTAGGTTAATAAACAACCTAAAATAATGTATTATAGACAAAAACAGTACAAGTACTATTAAAGAACAATAAATAAAATTACAGTAAATAATGAGCATATTTAAGTTTTCTCAACAACCCATATCATATATAAATCCATTTAATGTTTTTTTTGTTAAGTAAAGACTGTTTTAATACTCACCAATTAGATGAAACGAGGTGTAAAAAGTAATTCAACGTATCTTATACCAACTCAATTATCACAAATAATATTGAAAAACTAACACCAGTAATAACGTATTTAGTTAATATGTCAGTAGTTTTCCCTGATATTTTAGAACTTGCTCTCATTATACCAAAGTTAAAAGTATCAAATAAAATTGATTTAAATAATTACACACCAATTGCTTTATTGCAGTTATATCAAAGATGGTTAAAAACAAAGAAGAAAAGTTTTAGATTCAACACATTTTTTTTTCTCAAATTGTCAATTTGATTATCGTGAAAATATGAATACAGAAGGTGCACTTATTACAGTTGTTAATAACTTAAATCGTTCGATTAAAGATGATAAAATAACACGTGCTCTTTTCCTACATATCATCAAAAGCTTTTGCAACAACTTTTACTAACAAGAAATTTATAAAATTTTAATAAAAAGGATAGTTTTCAATTGGTTTAAATCGTGTATACCTAAATAGAAAACAAGTACGTAAAATGAATAATGTTATAAGTGATGAAATGAATTTAATCGCTGGAATTACTCGGAGATCAGTATTAACATATTTAAATGATTCTGTGAAAATAGGGTTAATGGAGCAATAAGTTTTGCAGATGACTCGATATTAATTTATAATGGAAATTCTGAGCTCATAAAAACAAACCACTAATTTACTAGAATCATCCTTACAAACATAATGAATAATATTTCAATTATACAAAAGTCAGAAAGTGTCGAGTATCTTGTAGTAATATTAAATTGGAAAGAATGCGTAGAAATGATGGAGAAAAAAGTAAAGATATCAGCAGTAAGATCTCATTATATAAAAAAATATTTATCCAAGAATGAAATGACAAATATTTATTCATTTCAATTGTGCAATATAAGAGTCATAATACAGATACAAAAGCATATTATCATTATTACATTGTTAAAATTTAAATATATTACCATTGTGCAAGTTATATATTTATAAAATAGATTCAGTCAACATATTCCAAATTGGGGAAAAAATAAAATCGATATACGAAACAAGGAAATATTTAGAAAAATGTATTTGTATCAAGTGAAATAAGATCACTGTTAAGTATAAAAACATTAAGTGAGCATTAAAGAAATGGATAGCTAATATAGAAGAAACAGAAAGTATTGCTTAAACATCATACACAAGATAGGTCAAAATGTAATTAGTTTTGTAAAGATAATATTAATGATTCTTTTATGATTTAATGATACATTTATTGAGAAACTTTGTGGATCTTTTTTCATGTTTTTGGTATTGTGTGTATTTTGAATTCAGTTGAAATGGTATCTTTTTCAGTGTTTCTATATTAACAATCACTACATGTATGTTTCTGTATTAACAATCACTAGATGTATGTTTCTATATTAACAATCACTAGATGTATGTTTCTGTATTAACAATCACTAGATGTATGTTTCTGTATTAACAATCACTAGATGTATGTTTCTGTATTAACAATCACTAGATGTATGTTTCTGTATTAACAATCACTAGATGTATGTTTCTGTATTAACAATCACTAGATGTATGTTTCTGTATTAACAATCACTAGATGTGGCTTCTCAGCTTACACTTGAGGAAATTAGTTATTGAGGAGTAACATTTACTACTTGTTCTTATTAGTGAGTTGGGAAAAATTCATGTTTTCTTTAATGTTAGTGAATAAAATGTAAATCTTGAGACACTTTTATAGTAAAAATATTTAACCTCTTTAGAATGAAACACATAAATCAAGATGAAAATAAAAACAGAGAGCCTTTGAAGAAAAACATGGAACACAGGAGAGAGAACAACTGGGAGACCTACAACAACTGTTGCCTATTAAAAATGGGTAAGTTATACGTGGAGGTCAGTTGTAGTGAAAGTAAGTGTGGTATTTCACTGTTGAACAAAATTTACCTCGTAGAAATACCACCAATCAACTCCAGTATGTCAACAGTAAAAATATATAAACCACTTATACAGAATAAATCGTGACAAACCTTGCTCGAGACTTGTAGCTTCAAAGCAAACACGTGCTGTTAAAACTGGGTTGTAATGTTGCATTCCAACATCACTACTGTACTCGAAACGGGTGCTTGTGTTTCAAATCTATTCAGTTTCATTTGTTATCTTCTTAAAAATCCAATAAGATAAACAATCATTTGTACAGAATTCTTCTCAAACGCTGTTTGGTTATGCAAACTTTACTGTTGTCTTAGTAATAAATCATTAATTATGATGCATTTTTCAACTAGAAAAGTTTCCAAATTAACGTACATCACCATTTCTAGTACTTAATCGTTTTTTTAGACTAATTGACATACTTCGGTGTGTTAAGTATTTCAACAACGTTTGTTAATAGAATATGTTTTCTACTTAATTAAATGATTTATTTCTTTCCCTTGACTCGCAAGCCCAACAATTTTAATAGTATTTGTTTTATTTTCTATATAAAAGCCATGAAGAACTACGAAGCTGTCGATATTATGAATTTCTATAGTAAATCAGACCATTATTCAGATCTCTATTTACCTTGAAAGTTATCTCCGTTCCCCTATTATCGTCACATTCCAAGATCTTTCCCTAGCAATAGCCTTTATTTGTCAAATTCCCCAACAAAATGGTGTGCTCCAAGTTTCCATAAAAACAATTGCTCTCTCTCCTACACTACTTGCTTAGTATTTATTTAAATTCTCACTTTCTTACACAAAAACATTAAAAAACTGATTTTATTTTGGTAAAATTAGATGTATGTGTGTGTAACCAATCAGAGAGTCCCACATCAGAATAATTTCTATATAAAAGTAGTGGTGGAGAGACTAAGGCAACATTTTGTGTTTCAGTAAAAGCTGTGTGAGTAATGAGTACTGTTTATAATAGGAGCAGCTGAAGTAGAAAACCCTAAACTCAGAATATGCTCTTTATGTGATAAACGTATCTTTCCATTATCCTAACTATAAGTACAAGTGTTACCCTCTAGAACAATAACATGCACACTAAGTGGCCTGAATGCCTCTGGAGCAACTCGTAAACTGCAGCTTGGGATCAAATGTCCATTACTCCATAAAGAACAGGAGGAGGGTTCTCTCTCTCTCTACAGGAGAGAGGTTGGAGGATAGTATCATTCAACGTACAAGTGTGGGCAGCATTTCGGCCCACGTCGAGAGAGACGTATACCAGCCTGACAGTAACAAGCCACTTTCTCATCTATCGTGTCATTCCTTCGATGTAAGTGTGTCGATACATTACCTGCAAGGAAAAAAAAAACAGCGAAACATATTATCAAGTCTCTACAGGCCTATATATAACCTGAGAAGGTGCAAGTGTAACCACACAAATTTACAGAATGTTCTGCTCTGTTTAAAACAAATACTAGTGAATCTTACAACTTATGTCCTTTTTTTATGTATTTTCCGTATTGTGTAGGTGGTAAATTCACTATTTAATTTCCACTTCCCCCATTGTTTGTGACTTGAGTATGTTCATCTCTTTGGTGTTCCTTCCACTAGTGTATATATTGTATTGATGCAATCCTTCAAACCGGTAGTTAACATCGTACCATTCTGTTATTTTATAGGCCGTATCTTCGAGTCATTCTTGGAAGTGTAAATGTGTGTCTACTGAATAAAGATGACAGGTAAACTGGATTTTTATTAAGTAGTATAGTAATAATCCCCGTGATAAGTTGGATATTGCTTTCCACAAATGTGTTAAGAATTGTTATAATTTCATTTATTAAACAAGTTGCATATTTCCTGTTTTTTTTAAGTTTTGATAACAAGAATGGTTGAATCTAATGTAGGTCCTACTTTCCAAATAAAAACTATTGGATTTTAGAATATTAATAGAAAAGTCACTAATTGAACCTTTAATTTTAGTCCTTAAACTACTTGTATTCTACTTCTTTTATAAAAAAATGCATTAAGATATGTCAGTGTTTGTTTCTAAAATCAGCTAGTAACAATGTTTTATTACAAGTTACTACCTATGTGTAGTAACAGAAATGAACCATGACACTTCAAAGGACAGATGTCCTGTGATTTGTGTTTAACAACTTGCTAATTCTATGCAGATTCAAGTATAAAGATGAGTATAAACAGTTCAAGTTGGTTGTGATGGCTGTTATCTTCGTTGTCTCGTTCGTATGTTTTGCAGTGTATTACAGGTAAGACTTAGTTATTTGGTAATTTCTATCAACATATA